TGTTTTTCATGAAAAGACAATTGAAAATTGTTCAATTAGTTGAAAACAATTATACTCTTTCTGCTTTTGACCTAGAATTGCATATGTCAGACTGAATCCCCAAATATGACATAAAAACAGGAGAGGTCACACAAGGAAGGCATGAGGACAGTACAACAGACCTGCCTCTGCCTGGCCATGTACAGGGCACCGCTCCCCAGACAGGGCTTATCCAGGGATAGGAACCTCCTGGCTTCCCACCAGTGTATCCCCAGCTGCCACCACATACTCAGCTTAAATAGCACTGGTGGAATCAGCACTGCCCTTGTGGAAAAAATTATGCATGCTTTTATCACTGTTATGAAGCACCTCTCCCTATTAGCTCAACAGAGCTTGTTCTCAGCTCTGTCCCAGCATGCATTTTGGCAAGACTAAAAGTGGAAAGGGAGATGGACTGGGAACTTGGAGAGAATGCTAAGCCCACTGCTGAGCAGTGGTGGCCAAGACATCTCCATTCCACTAATGTTACGTGGCATCAGCCCACTTGTGTGGAAGGCAACTCAAACGCAGCTGGAAGATCTTTCTCCACTGCAGAAAGCACAGGGACTGGCGCTGCAGCAGCATCAACAAGGTGCTGAAGCCTGACACCAGGATTTCAATGGCATTGTCATCTCTCAACCAAGCAGTACTAATGTTAGGAAACAGACGTTCTCCAAAGGAAATAGCAGGCTGAAGAGTGTCAGAAATGAGAGCCCCTGCAGAGATCCATCAAAACAAGCTTCTCCTGTAACTGTCTCGCGGGAGTAGTCTCTCAGCCTGACCTGGAAACATCTTAATCTATTGCCCTGTCTTCCACTCTGCCCTCACTGTAATTTGAAAACAAATCTCCTGAGAATAATGTAGAACAGATTAGCTATAACTAATATTTTAATTATAATTGGTGAACATAAAAAAATTACTAAACTTCCAATGTCACATCTGGATACATTTTATAGTGTTCCATTAAAACCAATGGGAGCTGCAACAGAGAAGCTCCCTCTTTCTGTACTGAGGCACGTGATCCTGAGAGCAGCTGGCTCAAGGCTGGCTTTGCTACGTCAAATACCTCTGTGAGAGCAGTCCTTCCAAATCTCCTTGTATGTATTTAATCACAGATATGTCAGAGATAAAAGCAATTTTTCACTCTGTCAGCCTTGACAGACTGCAGAATCACCAACAACAACAGTGCATGAGCTGCTTCTGCTATGTTTGCTTGCATTCACAGGCATGGTCTCAAGTCTCAGTTAGTTACCCTGCCAAATCATGATGCACATATGAAGAAACATTTACTGACTGAGCCCTGCACAGGTGCCTAGGGGGTTGAGCAGTCTCCATCCTTGGAGATACTGAAAACTCAGTGGGATACAGCCTTGAGCATTCTGCTGTAGCTGGCCCTGCTCTGAGCAGGGAGTTCGACTTGATGATCTTCAAGGTACCCACCAGCCTCAGCAATTCTGTGATGAAGGCCACACGGAAATTCGGAAGACTGTGGCTGCGAAGCGCCGTTAAAAAAAGATCTATCTAATATAAGCTATTTTAGGGAAAGAAAGAAGGAAGGAAGGAAGGAAGAGTCAAGCACCATTCTTTTTTTCTGGAGAAAAGTGGTTGCTCCATTCAGCCTATTGCAAAGAGTACTGCATACAACCTTGCCTATCACACAGTCCTCTGCTAACACAACTACTCTTTAAACGTAAACAGTGGGAACACGTTCATCTTAGGACAATGTCAGTACTGAGTCAGCTCTGCCAGCTCTCCAAAAGAAGAGGTCCTGCCCAGGTGTACAGTGCTTCACACCACCCAGCCACAATCATGCAGAGGCATCAGCCTGGCTCAAGAATCTCCAAAAATAAGCCCCTTGACCACCACCCACATGTGGTATGGTGCAGGCCAACAGCAGCCTCCATCACCTTTTGAGTGGTTGCTAGTGACAGGCAACAATGTGGAGCTGGGGAAAATGCCATAACTGAATTGACTGAAAGGCCACCCCTGTACAGCTGAAAGTTTACCTAAGGCAATAAAATTGCAAGGAGGTCGACTTCCACAGCATACTTGTGTTTCCTGATGGCACTGCTAAGGAACTGTAAATCCACAGTCAGCTCAACACATAAAGAACAGTCAACTATGGGAATAGCTTCATAATATAATTAACAGCTCCAGGTTACATTTTAAGGAAACTTGATTTTAATAAAACAATTTATCCAGCACATACAGGACACTTCTAGAACAGAGCCTCATCAGAGTTGCTCCATAAAACTTGAAACTGTATAATTGATATTAAAGTTTGTATCTTCTTTTAATAAGCACCTCTTACCTACCTATAGTTTTCTGTCTTTGATTGACACCCAATGATTTCACTTTACAGCATAAGATGGGAACGTATCTCACAAATAGGCATTTATACCTCTAGAAGTACCAAATTCAGAACTCAAATGTGAATCACTTACTTCAAAATATTCTAATTAATTAAAATTAATTATAACCTGAAAGGAATACAGTTTAATCAGCTTAATGCCAAGTGATGACGGGTGAATCTCCTAAGAGGTTCGCCACTGAGTGATTTACTGCAACAACAGTAAGCTTGATATTATCAGCCTATGAGCAACAGATAAGACATCAAAAGTTCAGTGTATCACTCACTTCACCTGATTCAAGGCATACATACCATCCCCATAGCCACAAAAAGGTACAAAAACTCATTACAGAACTTAAATTTCATCTGAAACTGTAGAAAAGCTTAAAATAACCTGTGAGAAATTGAAATGTTCATGGTTAATGACTCACACAATCAGCCATTTGCAAAAACAGGAGGGTGCTTTGCTCATGATGTGCCATGTAACCATCCAGATGCAGAGGGCACACCCACCACCAGAGCTACAAGTTTGGTTTTGAGCCAGGTAAAGGAAGAGGCAAATAAGAAGCAGATCCTGTGAGGTGGGATAATGCTTTTTATCATGCCAATGTCCTCCCTCATACAACTGGCTCAGGTGTGAAAACTACCCTCCACGGAAGTACTGGGACATTCACATGTAGGCCTGAAGGTATTCATCCTTTTTCATGGGGCATAACTGGCTCAACTACACTTAACTGAGACGCAGCTGCCATGTCTTAGGTGTCCTAAACCATCAAAGACCCACAGAGTGCCCCCAGACTCATTTCTCAGGTCTTCCACCAGAGGACTGCGTATGATCTACAGTATGATCAGATAGTATACCCCCAGTACACCCTGGGGGTGGGTGTACCTGGGCATTCCCATGTAAACCTGAACATACTGAACCCATTGAACTCTATGTTTTGTCAGCTTTCCCCATACCCAAAGGACCACAACTGCAACTATCACTCCAACCAACAGACATCAAAACTGCAACAATCAAGTCTCACTGCTGGATCCATGGGTGGTGATATCATTCCTCTCCACTGTCTACTCTTATCCTTTCTCCCTCTTTCTTTATTTCTTGTTCTTATATACTTTCTTTATACTTTTACATTGTTATACTACTATAGATAATAATAACCACATAACCAAAATGGCTAAATACCTCCTTTCCGTTGCAACCAAATTGTTCTGAAATAAGCCTGCCATATATATATTATCAACACTCAGTTAGTGTCATTTCACTCTAATCTGCCCCAAAGGATCTATTATTAACAAGAACCTCAGTTACCTTGCCTTTAGGGGCAGGTTGCAACATAACCATTAAAATTATTAAAATGTTAATACAAGATCTTACATTTATAGAAGGAAGCATGACAAAAATCCACATGCCTATGCCTAATAACAAGTTTTCTGCACCCCTGAATTTCACTAATACAGTATCAACTTAACCATATGTAAGAAAACAAGGAGACAGAAAAAGATGACCTATTTCAAATTATTATGTCAACTGCCCTTTACCTAGAGGTACAGAAGAAACTGCCAAAATACTTCAGGAGCGCCAGGAAAGAGAGTCCTTAAAATTTAAGGACAGCAAATAGTTATTATCTCAGTGATAAAATTAGCTCCCTTAGCAAAACTTTCAGACTACTTGCATGCTTTCGATTTTACAAGTCTGTGCCACAATCTGGCTCCATCGGGAAAGGTGCCAAAACTCAGCTTTAACTATTAACATTAGGATCCTTCCTGGTCTCCAGCCTGCTGCCCATCGCGGGGGTCAAAGGCAGCGCGCACGGCACTTTGAATCAAATCGACCGACACTGATTTTTTATTATCATTTCCTTTTTTTTTTTTTTTTTTTTTTTTACCGTGGAAACACAACTCGCTACTTTTAAGTCCCGTGTGGGTGCGTGCTTTATACTCCGTCCCCAGCCAGCGGCGCTCTGTGCCGAGCCGTGGGAGAGGGAGAGAGCGGCGGGGCCCGTCTCAGCCCGGACCCCGCCGCCAGCCCCTCGCGGTGCCGCCCGTTCCGCTCCGCGCCCGCGGAGGGGCAGCGGCGGGGCAGCCGGGCATCCCCGCACAGCCCACCTGGCTGCTCCGCCTTCCCGAGAGCGAGGGCCCCGCGCCGCCGCCCCGTCCCGTCCCTTCCCCGCGCCTCCCCGTGAGAGGGTCCCGCGTGGGCACCCGGTGGCGCAGCCCGAGGGAGTCGCCCCCGCGTACTCACCGCGGCGGAGACGGCGCTGAGCTCGGCGCTCAGCAGCAGCCCGAAGCCCAGCCAGAGCCGCATGCTGCCGCGCACCGCTGCGCGCCGTCGGTCCCTGGGCGGCGGGGCGCCGGCGGCTCACAGTGGGGCTCCGCGGGGCCGGCCCCACATGCGCGCCTCTCCCCTCCGTCGCGGCCGCGCAGCCTGCAATGCCTCGGGGGCGAAGGACTCGCCGTAAACGATGGGCGGTGGCAGCCCCCTCTCCTCCCCCGGGCGGGGACCTCGCCCGCTCCTGTTCCCCGCTGTCCGCAGTTCCTCCTCCTCCTCCTCCCCTCCGCGGGTGGCTGGCGGGCCGGGGGGGCGCGGGCGGAGGGGGGAGGCGCCGCTTGCTCGGCGCACACGGCCGCGGCCGCCGGGAGGGCTCGGCAGCGCAGCGGTGCGGAGCGGGCGCGGGGCCGGGCGGCGGGAGGGGCGGGGAAGGGCCGGGGGCGCTGGCTCTGCTTCTGCTTCTGCCCGGCCCGTCGGGGTCCGCGCCCCCGCGGGGGGCTGCGCGGCGCGGGGAGCGGCGCAACACCCCGCTCTTCCCTGGATCGGAGCGGCCCGGCCCGGCCCGGCCCGGGCGGAGGGGCCGCTCCCTGCCCTGGCAGCGGCGGCGCTGAACCCGGAGACCTCCGGCGGGGGGAGCGGCGTTACAAGCGGGCTCTTCTCTGCCTTGTAGGGGCGACCGTCCGGCGGGAGGGAGCCCTGAGCCGAGCCCCCGGCAAGGGAAGGAGCGAAAATGGACATCTCGCAGCTTCCCAGTGCACGTATTTTCCTTTGTCAGTAAGTAATTCCGCTCGGCAGGCTTTTGGAAATAACTTTTTTAAAGTCGTATTGTCACCTTTAACTGTAGAGCGTTATCACGTGCTTGTTTTGTGCGAGCTTAAAACAATGTTGTCCTTATTCACCTTTCCCTGCAGGGATATGGGGCTTCTGTTGATCCTGATGGAAGTCGTGCTGTCAGCCGTCAGAGTGGATGCCGTAAGTAAAAGGTCTTATGACTTTTACTGAGAAGAGAGAAGGAAAAAGCAGTTTCCTTGGTACCAGAAAGTGAGGAACTGCCTTTTTCTTTGCCAGATGGCTTATCTATCGTTCTATTAAAAGAAACAACTAACAAATAATCTCTGCAAGCCTTACAGATTGCTGCCTTTAACAAAATGATGTTTAACAGAGAAGCATAATACTTCAAGTGTCAGGTTGTTTGAAGTAGTCAATTCTTAATTTTGCTCAGACTGGGTAATTTGTTAAAGCAGTAATGAAACAAACACAGCAACTTCTTTTTTTAAGAAAAGCACCAAAAATGCAGTGCAGTAGATACCAAAGAGTACCTTGGAAAAGTTAACCTGCAGAGGAAAAGTCTCACTTAAGTACAGACCTCATCTGAGGACTGTGAAGCTTATTTTTACAAGTCAAAGGCATGTTTATAAATAAACTGTTGTCTAAATGAAACTGTTAAATCCAAAAGTAGGTTTAAAGTGCTATATAGGTGGTTGTAGCTATCCACCTGAAGTGTTGAAATAAGTAGAAGTTATTAAACTCTTGCATCATTGTCACATGGATGTGAAAGAAGTGAGAGAAAACGTATTTGGAAGTGCAACATTTTCCTTTTACAAAGGTTGGTGAATTTCGTGGAAAGATTGTCATTAATGCAAGTAGGCTTTGGATCAGGCCTAAACAGAGCAGACTAACATTGGTAAGGCTTGGCTTGTGGCTGCATTCACTGGTCAGCCACAAAGTGTGGGTAAGGCTCTGTGGTCATGTACAAGTGGGACCTTGATTACATTTTTTCAAAAGCTATCCTACTTACATTTTAATCCTACTGTTTGCAACTTTATGACTTTACACTCATTATAGATATCCAATGTGGTTACATCTTTGTGGTGAGATGGCATAGTGTATTAAGGAATAGGAAACAGTAGGACTTTTGCAGCAGGTGTTGTGACACATGATAATCTTGCACTCCAGCTGCAGTTGGCATGTAGAGCTTGCCCGTCAGTCTGTGTGGATGGTTTGGTCTTTCCACAACATGTCTGAGCAAGAGCTGTCAGCCTGGGGACCCACAGCCCTTTGGAAAGGCACAGAATGAGGACCTCAAGTGTCATGTGCTACTTGTCTTTGCCACATTTAGATACAAACATTGTTCTGCTGAGTAGCGCTGAATGAATGATAAAATTACCACGTGCTATTGAAACCAGAGCAGGCTGGTGATACTGCAAATGTTTTATACCAGTAATGATATCACTGGGATTAGTTGACATGAAACAGTGGCATCTGTGGTATGACCCTCCTTTTTATGAAGTTGTGCTAGAGTGTGCGTAGCATGATACCTGAGATTTAGCTACAGCATGAACTAATTAATTCTCCTTCAAGTTCTTATTGTAGACTGCAGTCTGTGGTGGTAAAATAGAGATATATTGAAGAGGTGTTTGAGATACCTCAGTTAGTGGATTCAGTCTGGTCATGGTTGCTTGGATCTTCACATTCTGGTTTTCCCAGAGAATCTTGGAAGAGTAAATTGACCTGCTTGAAGGCCTAATTTCCCAAAAGTAACTATTCCTAAGGTTGTGGCTGCGTAGGAGATGAAACACCACAGTGAATGTGAAGGGGATAGTTTGGTCATGTTTCCATGAAAAATTGAGCTGCACTGCCACCAAATATTTGTCCTATTTTCTACCCATATGCTGCTCCCTTCCCTTGGGCAGCCCAGGTAGTAGTTGTGTGGTGAACTGAATTGGAAAATTCCTTGTTTAAACTAATCAGGACCCCAAAGGAGATGAGGGGTGAGAGCTAACTTTATCCCGGATCAGATCACCACTTGTATTCATAGAAACTTGGGCTGGCATGGGACTGGGAGCAGGCAGCTGGGTGTGGGAGGAGGATTGGGCTTACTCCTTGCAGTGACAGCTCTGGTCAAGTGTGTTTGCAAAGTAACAAAGTAGGTGTCTGTGCGAAGCAGCAGCACCCAAGTAATTGCAGGTGGGTTGCTGGCAGTCATATTCTTTATATTGTAATCCTGTTTGCCACACTGAATCTTCTCCTATTTGTTACACAGATTAACATGCTAATGTTATGAAGTGTTTTATTAGCTTGGATTTAAAAAACGTGCTATGAATTATTAGAGTCTGTGAGACCAGGTCTTAAAAGTCACAGTTCCACCTGTAATGAGAGAAGCAGAGCTCCTGAGTTTGACAGCCATATATATGTGAATGAGTTAGAGGCACTAGAGATAAGTGCTGTAGAATGAGTAAAATTGCACATAGGAAGAAACTGGAATGAGATTAAGGAGGAAACCAGGAAGGAGGGAGAGAGTAAGAGTGGAACTCAGAGAGTTTGACTGAACGTCTTGCCTGGCAGGCTGCTGCTAGCTGTTAGGGAGATGGATGTTTCTCACCAGAAAAACAAATGGGAGGAAGAAAAAGAAGGAGGATGTTTAAGATATCTGAGAACTGGGAGAGAAAATTATGTCTCTGGCAAGAAGAGAGGATGCTGGTTGCAGGCTTGAAGAACTAAGGAAGAGAAATCCCTGAAGGGAAATGCTAGGAAAGACAGCCAAATGGAGCAGATCAGGCCCCAGTTATGTTTAGCACTCTTTGGCATATGCTGGGTAGTGATGTTAAAGACCTCAAATAACTTTGGAACTGCCCTGAATTGTAGATTTGAGAATTCACATGACTTAAATAAAAGTAAGTAGTATTAACTACCTGAAGTTCAACCAGGTTTGCAGATTTCTTCTCCCTTTCTGTCCCTGCAAATACATTTAATCCAAAATATAATTCTTCTATTTTTTTCTCTTCAGAGAGAATATATCTTCTGCTAATGCTGATTTTTTTTTCTTTCATCTTTCCCAAAGCACACTTTTTCCCAAGTACTTTTGTAAGATTTGATTACTTTATTGGTGCCCCTTTAGTATATTTTTTTAAACTACTTCTAACAAAAATTACTTTTTTTCCAAGTTATATTCTGGTGGGAGCACTAGAATTCCAGAAAAAGAAGGAAATTGAGAGAGAGTAAGTTCGAATAACATTTGCAAAAATAACTGCAAATAACAGATGACAATTGTCATTTTAAAAGAGAACTAATATAAATATATAGAAAGAAAACAGAGTTGAAGTAATTCATGAGATATAATTCACTTCTGTGAGATTGTAAGGGGATATATCATGGGAAATGTCATCAAAGTGGGAGAAGCAATAATCCTTAAAAAGAGAGAGTAAAACCATCAGCAATGTATTTCTCCTATTGATTTCATAATGAAATTAGATTGCTGACATGGGCGCCTAAGTTATTGCTCACAGTTAAAATGTGTCAATGCTCTGTGGCTGTCTGACATCCAGGTTTTCCCGGATGTGTCCTGTTTTATTCCATCTGGAAATTTTTGTCTGGTTGAAACAGGAGGACTTTTTATATTAACCCAGGATTTCCAGGCTGACAGAAGCCAGGGTGGAGTAATCACTCAGCCCATCCTGCTCAGCATGTCCACTGTGAATGTACGCACTGGGATCACAGTGTGAAAAATGTGATAGGGCAGGCATACTGCCCCAATGATCTGGGAATGAGGAATCAGTCTGATGTATTGATTTCTTCTGCCCCATTACTTAGTGCATGCAAAGCAAATTCATCTCTTCCTGGAAATACCAGGCTCTGTGTGCTGCTACCAGCACCTGTGTGGTGCTTCAAAAATAGTTTTGACTAGGAGATCCCCCAAAAAGAAACATTGCAATCCTATTTTAGAACAACTTCATTTGAGGTATTTCCACACTGGCAGACATGGCTTATCTATGTCTGTTTAAGTAAGCATAGAGTTGGGCTTATCTTTGAGTAAGAGTGGTGTTCCACGAGAAAATCAGACAGAATAATGATACCCTGAAAAAAACTCCAACATTTTGGGGAGCCTCCCAGCGTATCTGATTGCTTTATTCAAAATTTCTTTGAACCCTGAAAGAATTATTGGATAGTTCAGAGAGGACTCTTTTTATGTTCGGTTATGGAGCTGTCAAGAAGGGGCAGCTCTCTTAAAGAACTATGAGAAGTCCTGAATGAAGGAGATGGCATCCAGATAGCTACATAAGGCAAAGTCCCTCATTTTCACCAATACCAACAGCCTGCCCTGGTCTGGCACTGGTGTTTCAGTGATGAGGGTCACAGTGTGTATCATATTGTATATGGGCATCAGAATGGCTACCCAAATGGGAATTTGTTTTTTTCTTTTATGAGATCTATGATTTATCCCATCAGCATCGTGTGATGCCAGGGCGACAAACACATTCACTGCAAGTACTGCATACATGGAAATGTAGTCATGTTTGATAGCTTCAAATTCCTTATTTTTGTTCCTTTTTTTTGTGATGTCTGCTCCACTCACCAGTGAGTTCCCTTAAATGTCTCTTTCCATTGTTATTCCTCGAATTCTTCCTTGAAATTCTTTTTTTGCTGTCATGTCTATGAAACTGATAGAATTCTAATTTCTTATTAATTAATCATTCTTCCTGGGAAGATTTCTTTAAGAGCCATTTCTGCTATGTCTCTGTGGACTAAATTAGAGAGTCTGATCTTTGTATACAGTCCTATCCTAACACTGATTCACATTATTCATTTAAGGACTAAAAATACATTACACTAAAAGCAATATATTGTGTCTCCCTGGAGTTAGTGATGGAGAGGAGAAGGTTCTTGCACAGGTCTGTGGTTTTTAATCTCTCAGTGCAAAGCCACACATAAATTCTTTACTCGCTTTTTCTTGTGAATAGAAGTATACTCAATGAATATCTACTATAATATATTCAAGTTTATTCTATTTTTTTGAGTTATTAAATAGCATATCATATAGTCATGTTGCATTTGGTAGAAGAAGAGACAAGAGTTCTGTCAGCCTCCCACATTTCTCAGAGTTAAAATGTTGATACTGAGAGACAAGAACCCTGACAAGGTAAACTATCATGTAATAAGATGGTCTTGTTATTTTTGTCATCTTATCCTGAAAG